AACCGCAGTGAGTTCCGGCGGCGCGGCACGGCGAACAAGCGCCGGAAGGCAGTCAAATGGCGCCGCCTCGGCGCTACACCGTATGACAGGGACCCTTACTGGGTCAAGGTTGCATTGGGTGCTGCAGGCCTGCAGGCGCTGCCCCCTCCCTTCCCCAGCCCCCCTCCCCCTCCCCCTCGGCTCGGCGCGCACCGGAGGACTCCAGACGCATGGTCACGGTGTCACTCAGCTGATGGCTCAGTTTCCCAGTTTCCTGGCAGAGAGAGAGAGAGAGAGAGAGAGAGAGAGAGAGAGAGGGGGGGGGGAGAACGACCTAGTTTTTCTGAACTACATTTAAAATGCTCAAATTCCTTGCTGAAGTTTTTGAAAGTGACGGGGTGTGGTGCTGCTACACCAGTAGTCGAGACAGAAATCTCGTTGCGCAGGCACGACTGGTCTAATCGAGTAATCGAATGTCGGCCGGCGAGACCGACACTCGAATAAGTGGCGCTGAGCCGCGCTGAGCGATCGCCGCACATTCACCAGCAGCCAGTGCATTGGTCATCGCGCGGCTTAATCGTGTTTCTAGTGCGCAGCTGCCCGTTCGCAATTATTTCGCAGCGTGGTAACGCAGTCCGCCGCGAAACGACTCGAATTGGACGTTTGCGCGACTGCACGCGGCCCTCGCCCAAACGTGCAATGCGCGGGCCGTGCCGCCTCGCTGCGAAAAGAACGACAACAACAACAACAACGACTTTCCTTCTGGGGAATGAAATGAAATCTAAAGCAGATCGCGGCGAGGATGCCGCGCGCAGTAGGTCGGGCGAGCGGACGGACAGAGGGACTGCTGCAGACAGACAGACAGACAGGCGCGCCGTATGACCGGGGCTGACCTGCCTAGAGAACCAAGGCCGATAGTGCATCGGCACGAATAGGTGTGCAATTCCTGATCGATGCACTTCCTGAACAGACGGCCGGGCGGACAGATTGGAAGACGGACGGACCAGCAAGGACTGGAACTCTTACGTCACTGGCCATGGAGAGGGCAAAACAAAGACCGTTTACAAAGGACACGTAAATCTCAAAAATGGACCGGGGCAGGTTCGAGGTAAAGAAAGCAAGTTTTCGGTCATAGCTTTTTTTTTGTGTGTGTGACTGAGGCGGGAATCGAAGCCGGGCGCGGGGCGTAAGGGACAGTCGTCCAGGCCGATCAGACTCGGTCGTTACGTCACGTGGTCGGTTGCAACAACGGTAGCGGGAATAGACGGCCGAGGGGCAGGCAGAGCGGGCGGAGCAAAGGTCGCTGGCGCCTGTCAAGTCCGCGGTAGGCAGCACCGCCACACTCGCGAGTCCCGCGGCCCGGCCCGCCCAGGACTCCGCAGGCGGCGGTTGGAGCCACACCCCGAAACAATGACTTCTTAGATCTAGAAAAAAATTAACTTTTTTTTTGTTTTCTTTTGTCGTTTTTTAGATCCAAGGAAATGAAAAATCAAGAGGTTATTTTTCTGGGTGCAAGCCAATACAACTTAACATTTTTTTGGCGATTTTTTTGGAGCTTTATCATGTAGCTAGCGATGAAACAAAATTTGTGAAAAAGGATGACAAAAATTCAAAATTTGATTTCAAATTTAAATAAAATTCAAAGTTTGATTACAAATTTAAGAAAAATTTAAAATTTGATTTCAAATTTAAGTCAACCCGCGCTCAACTGTTGAATCTCTTTCGAGATGCAGGCACTCGAAATGGGCGTTAATGCACTCCCTGGCCGACGCGAGTTTTCGTCCTTTTCCCCGGCGGTTCTCTTTCACCTTGACCCTGAGCGGGTCCTGCCCGCGCCGCGCTAACGCCGCGCGCCGGGGAGGCACTTGTCGCCGCGCTGCTGGGAGGCTGCGGGGGCCTCATTGAAAAAAACAACAAAATAGTATGGTAATCATCGGCCCGAACAATGGCGGGCATTACCATAGGAAGGAAATATGACATGTGCGTGGCCTCTCCGAGAAACGCGACGAAAAAAAGGCGGGCCGCCGCCAAGGACGATATTGAAGGCAGATGTTACAGATTTTACTGGCTTCCACCTCGTTTCTGGCTCGTTCGGGTTTCAACCTGGCCGTGTTATGGTCATTAGGGCTTTGGGACAAAGTCGCGAGGAATACAGTGCGCGGAACCAGTCGGGCCAACGTACATCTTAAATCTTTTCGATCTGTTGAACTTCGCTGCTCCGCTGTGCCGTGCGGACATTATCTTGGCACATTGTGGTAACTTCCTCGACTGTGCGGCTCAGCGACTCAAGAGAAACAGTGTCGTCGAATTAACCCGTTGATGCCTTTCGAAGCGAGTCCTAGCCGTTCCGGGAAGCGCGGTTCTGTCTGCCTGTCTGCATGTCTGCACAGCGCGCGCCGAGGTGTCATCACTCCTCCACTGAGTGCTTCTCCGACTACTTCTTTCGGATCCTGCACCTTTCGGGAGACTCGCAAGAGGCGACGCTCGCGAACGCCAGCGCTACGCCAAAGTTCCTCCGAAACATTCTTATATCAGCACATTTTCAATTCACATCATGGAATAATAGTCATGAGGGAAGTCCGCAGACGATTTCGTCAAAAATACCAGTTTCGAGATCCGTGCCTAGCTGTTGCCCAAAAAAACGCGGCTGGCTCAGGAAGTGCAGAGGCCGGAAACGCTCGCGGAAACTCCCGCGGAAACGCAAAGCTATTTTTTTTTTCCTCATTTTTTTCCAGTGCCTCAGGCATCAAGCCTGCTGCTTCACCTCGAGTACGCCTTGTGTGTATACCGAAATGATTGTCGCATGATTTCCTGCTAGCGTCGTCGGTTTCGCCGGGATTGAAAACCGCGGGAAGGCAAGTCGGAGGCTCCCAGCCTCGCTCGCTCCGTCTCTCTCGCTCTCACGGAGGGCGTCGGACGGGCACCACGCCGTTTGATAAAGTATAGTCAAGCATGGCGCGGTTGCCGCAACGGTAAAGTCCGTCCGCGGTTCTAGTGCATCCCGAAGCTGCACTGCAATTAGGTTACGTCATAGAGCGCGTCTCGACGGCGGGCGGGCGGACGGACGGACAGACAGACGCGTTCGCAACAAGAACAACACCGCCATCAGCGACAAGCACTGTCACGACACTGTCCCTCGGGGAGCGTCGTTTTGGCGGGACGGCCGCAAACATGTTTTGGCGGCAACAGCGCTGCATGGCGGCACGCCTTGATGCCATGTCTAATTCGATACGCTCGAATGAGCAAAAGTAGCGTGCGAAATGAAGCTTGTGCAGCAAAACTCTTTCATACGAGAAAAAACAGTTCCAGAATTCCAGCAGCCAGGAAGGCGTTCTTGCTATCATGAGGAACATTCAAGAACATAGCAGAGTCAAGAACATAGCAAAGTCTAGAGCATTGCAAAGTCAAGAACATTGCCAAGTCGCGGTTGGAACGCATCTCCCTGGTGCTCGGTTCTGCGGACAACGGTTCGGAACTCAAACTGCCTCCCGGCCCAAAGGCGCGTGGTCGCCGGCCGGCAGATAGGGGTTGTGCTGTATCAGCTGTATTTGAACTAGAGAGGTTGAAGATCTTTCCCCCCTCCACCGGAGCAGCCCGCGCTGCCAAAGGCGCTGCTCGCGCTGCAGGTTCACGGGGGCAACCAGATAATGGCTCCGTCCAAATTGTTATTGCGGCTAATACTCGTGCATCTAATAAGGCGATAAAGGCCCAGCAATGAGCTGAGCATTGTCGCGCACAGTGGGCCAGAAGACCGGTGGAGGCGGCCAAAATTCTAGACGCGTTTTGAGCTTCAGAGTCCGCTAAATCGGACTCGAACCGACCGTGAGACCCCCGCCAATGGATTCCTCGTTTGGAGAGCAATCCATTGATCGGGTTACCAGAGGGAGAAGCAGCGCCCAAATTTTCTGCGTGTATGTGTTGTGTGTTTGTGCGTGTGAGTGAGCGTCCGACACTGTTTAGGGAGTATGGCACCTGGGGGCTGTACAAGGTGGTCTTCGCCTATGCCACGGGTCTCAGTGTGCGCGTATGTAGTGTGTGTGAGTGTGTGTGTGTGTGTGTGTGTGTGTGTGTGTGTGGTGTGTGTGTGAAGGTAGTGCTTCTGTGTGTGAGTGCTTCCGATTGAAGCAGCGTTCGACTGCGGCCTGGGAGGGGCGCGAAGCGCGAAGCGTGGGACATTGGAGTTGATTGACCTTGCGAAGCGGCGAACTCGTGCCGCTAGAAGGCGGAGTCGGCGAGCAAGCCGCCCAGGGGTCCGTCGGCCCTCGGGCCCGACTAGCCTATCTCTTCGACCAGTGCAGCCGCAATGGCAACACGCCGACGTGCGATTCGCAGCCAATCCCACCGCCAAGGACGCCACGTCGTCATCATTTCGGATTGAACGCAGTTGAACGCCCCGAATTTTCCGTGGCATCGAAGCTCCACTGTCACGGATGCCGTCGGTTACTGAGGTTCTTCAAGGGCTTTATTGTGGCATTAAGCTTAAGTTATAGCGCTAGCTCCAGGATTACTCCTCAGAGAGAGAGAGAGAGAGAGAGAGAGAGAGAGAGAGAGAGAGAGAGAGAGAGAGAGAGAGAGAGAGAGCGCCGTGTGGACAGGGGGCATTCATGTTCCGCCGGTGGCAGCGCCCAGCTCAAATATTGCCTTTTCCGCTATTTGCACTTTAAAAGGTGTTACAACCGCGCGGACGCTCGAACCAGGCCACGAGGTCGCCGGGCGCACTAACCCACTGCAACACTAGCAAACAGAAAAGAAAGTCCCCTGGAGCTTTTCTTTTTAGCCCTAAAAATAGAGCTCGGCGGAGAGCTGGCGGCGGCCAAAACTCTAGACGCGTTTTGGGCTCCAGAGTCGCTGAGCAGGACTCGAGCCGAGCGTGTGACCCCACGAATGGATTCCTCGTTTGAGAGCAATCCCTTGGTGGGGTCACACGTTCGGTTCGAGTCCCACTCAGCGACTCTGGCGCTCAAAAGGCGTCCGGGACTTCGGCCGCCACTTCCACTGTGCCAGACTGCCTCTCGACTTACCGCTGCGGCCCTGCGGCACGGTGTACGTGAGGTCGGTGAATTCGATGTCGACGGGGGGCCGCTCGGGCAGGTAGGACAGCTCCCTGCTCTTGGTGCAGACGGGCGTCAGGGGCCGGGGCGGGTTGTCGTCGGGCACCTCGAGGACGCACTTGCCCTCCACGGGCTCGACCCCCGCCAGCCCGGTGTTCATGGTGATCATGTCCATGGCGACGGTCTAGCAGCCCCTGTGGGAAGAGAGAGAGAGAGAGTCATGAGGCGAGCTGGCAGTGCGAGCGAGTTGACGGCCACCTCGTTTCCACGAACTTCCGTTCGAAACCTTCGACACCGCCGCGCCGCGTCAACAAACGCCAGCTTTCCACCGCCTAGCAAATATTACGTTTTTGTGCGGCGGGCGCCTCGTAGCGCTGCGCCGCTACGCCGCTACGCCCCTGGGCCGGCGATCGCGTTGGAGGGGGAGGCGTCTAGCGGCCAGGGTGGATCCAGGGCGCCGGGTGATGTAAGCGCCAACCCGTTTGGCCGGCTCCAGATTTGAGCGCTGACTGGCAGCCTGCTTGGCCGCGGGCTTGGCCGAGGGCTCGGCCGAGGGCTTGGCCTGCCCGGCGCCTGGACAATGCAAGTCGACTTGGGCGCAGCCCGGCGTCGAACCGCCGAACCGCGCGGCCGAACCGGAACGCGCGGCGGGACTATTACGGCCCTTTCCGCCCGGCCGTCCGCATTCCCCGGCATGCCGGCCGGGCCTGCACTGTAATGATGATGCACGGCGGGGCGCCCGCCGGCCACGCCACTACAAACTTTCCCTTGCAGTGCGGCTGCATGGCTGCATCGGCCTGGATGCACATCCTCGGCACTCCCCGGGCAGCCTCCGCGACCCCACACTGTAACATCGCGTGGCTGTAATCGAAGAGGCTGGCGACCCGCGGAGTCGGACACCTCGGCGTCGTCCTGCCCCGACTGTCGTCCTCGTCGCGCTGAGAGTGCGAGAGAGACAGGCGCGGCGCTGCCGCCTGGCTGCCCGGACGGCCCGCTGCCATCGGCGAGGGTGGCCCCCCGTTGTGCGCCCGTCCTCGCTTTGACGCGTTTTACGCCCGAACCCTGGAAGGCCTGGAAGGCCTGGAAGGTCGCCAAGGGAGGCAACAGGCGGGACGGCGGGCAGCGCTTCGGATGAGGCAAGGCAGGCAAGGCGGGCTAAAGCGCTGGACACTAGCGCTGCACTGCATCGCTCCACCTGGCGGCATTTTCTGTTGAATTTTTTTGCGGTTGGTTTGGTGGCGAAACGTCGCGCTTGGAGCGAATCGAACGGCAAGGAGGTAGCGCGCTGTGCGGAAGCGCCTGTGCAATGCGCGGTAGGCAACCCGCCCGCACGGCTGTGTCGATTGCCTACCGCCCAGGCGCTCGGAGCGAACCGCCAAATGTGGCTGGCCGGGGCGGGGAGTCGAACCAGCGAGTCCGGTTGCCGACCGCGGGGCGACCGCGGGGCGACAACCTCAGTCGCCTCAAAGTCGTAACGGCCGGGTTAGCTTTTACAGCGCTGCAGCCTGCGAGCCTGCCCCGTTGCGAAATGAGAAGCGGTGGCAGCAAAAACAACAACAACAAGCACCTGGTCGTAAAGGATCATGAGCGAGACCTTCATTTGGAATAGCCACGCCCCTGGCGCTGCTCTGGAAAAACGAAAACAACTCGCCTAGGATTCCGGCCGCTCCGGCGTAACAGCCCGGCCGCCACGCTGCGGCACGCTGCGGTCGCCACCACGCGTGTACGATGATCGTCCGCGGCCCGGTGTGCGTGGCCACCGCCCCCGCCTCCCGCGGACGGCCGCACCGGATGCCCGCACCGGACGGCCGTATCGGACAGACGGCCCGGACAGACGCACCGGACGGCCGCACCGGACAGCCGCACCGGACAGCCGCACCAGACAGGCGCAACGGACAGCGCACCGGACAGACGCACCGGACAGACGCACCGGACAGCGCACGGACAGCCGCGCGACAGCGCACCGTGCGACGCTCCGACCTGCACCTTGCTCGCCGCTGCTCGCCGCACTGCCCGCTGAGGGGACGAGGGGCCCCGAGAAGGGCTTTACGAAACGGGGAACTAACCGGGCGGACGCGGAGCCACGCCGAGCCGCGCCGAGCCACGCGGACCGTGAGGCAACTACCCGCCGAACCCAAGGTGTGCCGATAAACACACTCCTGTTGTCGTTCCTTGCCGCACTTGCAGTGTGCTCGCGGGTGCACTTGCACCCCAGCCGAAACTAAAACTAACCACTTTTTCCTCGGTTTCTTTGGCGGAGACCAAGCGGAGACGTCTGGAACGAGTGTCCTTAAAATCGCAGTCTACTCGTGCCTTTGCTTATTTGCGAGGGTTTCATTGTCTGTCCGTTTGTGTCGCGAAGGCGCTGCACTTGCAGTGATCCCACCACAGCGGCGCAGGCGGTGCAGGCAGGCGGCGCACTCGCACGGCCTTGAACGGGATCAACAACTGGCCGCGGTGCGACGGGACAACGTCCTCCTGCGTGCGCCGCGCCGCCGCGCCTCGCGCACCTCGTGCCGGTCGATCGCCCGCCGGCTTGGAGGGGGGGGGGGAGTCCTATCAAGACGGTCCACAGTGGAATGGAAGACCGGTGGAGGCGGCCAAAACTCCAGACGCGTTTTGAGCTACAGAGTCGCTAAATGGGACTCGAACCGAACCTGTGATACCCCACCAATGGATTCCTCGTTCGGAGAGCAATCCATTGGTGGGGTCACACGTTCGGTTCGAGTCCCATTTAGCGACTCTAGAGCTCAAAACGCGTCTAGAGTTTCGGCCGCCTCCTTACCGGTCTTCTGGTCCACTGTGCGGTCCCTGGAAGATGTAGTCGCCATCGCCACTCAAGCGGGCCCGGCCCGCATTGATACTGCCAGGGCGCCACAAACGAGGGTACGCGCCGAGCGAGTGGAGGTGGGACGCGTTGCGACGCGTTGCGCGTTCAGTGTTGAGCCAGCCCGGCGGGAGTGGCGGCGGCAGCGCGGCAGAAAAGCCAGAAAACGGCCCCAACCTGTTTGTGCGGGCCGCGCCATGGCGACGCCACCCCCACCGCATAGACACACACTGGAGGAGATACACAGACAGGCTGACCGCGCGGCAGAGGGAGACTTGCTGACACACACAGCGCACACACCCACCCCCTGCGACAGCCCCCCCCCCCTCCCCATCGGAGCCCCGACCAAGGACAAAGAAAGTCTCGCCAGGCAGCCCCGCGCCCCGCCGCCGCTGCGCCGCCTTGGCTGCGCGCGTCGAGCGCTCGAACGCCGGTTCGATTCCTCGACGGCTCGGCTCGGCGTAGCTGTTCACTCTCGGTTCTTATTGGCGCGCCCGAACGGTACTCGGGGGTCTTCTTTCGCCCCTGCCGACGGGAAGGTCGCCGCTCGGCGCGGCCCGTTCCAGCGCGCGTGCATAACGACGATTAACTCGAGTCCCAAATTGTATTTCAGGTTCTCTTTATCCGTTGGCCAGCTTAGCGGTTCTAGCCATTGGCGCTACCCAGCTGTGGGGGACTGCCGGCATGCTGGCACCCGAGACAACAACTGCCGTGGTGGCTGCGACCCGCCGGGACCGGTCGGGGAGGGGCGCCTGCCGCGGGCGGTGGACCCGGCGGCCGCAGCGCTGCGCGGCACTGCGCGGCACGCCACCCTGGCAGTGTAGTCCACCTTCTCCCCAGCGAATCCTTGGCGGGGACTCCAGACTCTCCAGAAGACTCCAGACGGTGCACACGCGCACACGGAAGTCTGGAAAAGTCTGATCCAGCCGGCTAATGATACCGATAATACTCATATGAGCACTCCGGCGGCGCTTTTTCCTTTTTTGCTGTTGTGTCTGCGGACTGACGACGCTCTGTCTCTCTCGCACCCGGCGGAACGCCTCGCGAGTGCGAGCGAGACGGTCGAGCCTGCCGGCTTGTCGATGGAGGGCGTGCACGCGGCTGGAGTTCGGAAAGCACCCAGGCCCTATTTATAGCCGGGCAACCCCCTCTCTGTCCCTCCTTCTCGTCCTCCGCCCCCCTCCCCCCCTCCTTGTTCATCCAGCGCGTACACTGGTTAGACAAGTACAGGAGTACGGAAGGATCTGGGTCCGCCACCGCGCTGGCTGCGCCGGCCGCGCACAGTGGGACAGAGGGCCAGAAGACCGGCGCAGGCGGCCAAAATCCCGGATGCGTTTTGAGCTCCAGAGTGGCAAGACAGGACTGGAACCGAACGTGTGACCCCACCAATGGATTGCTCTCCGAACGAGGAATCCATTGGTGGCGTCACACGTTCGGTTCGAGTCCTGCTAAGCGACTCTGGAGCTCAAAACGCGTCCGGGATTTTGGCCGCCTCCACCGGTCTTCTGGTCCACTGTGTCGCGCTTGCCGTGCTGTGCTTCCGTGGAATGTCCCCCGGAGAGGCGTGCACTCCGTGCGCTTGGACTCGACTTGCAGTGGCGTGGCCCGCGTGGCACGTCGCGACGCGTGTATCACTGTATCACTGGCCACCGTATCGCATGGCAGTGCGTCGCGGCCAGCGGGGCCTTCTGCGGGCTTGCCAACTCCAACCAGAGCAGCAACTTAACTCCAACTAGCGCTTCAACTAGAGCAGCTGCCTGGCCGGCTCGGACGCACCCTGCAAAGACGGCAAGAGGCACTTTCCCGGCCCAGGCGTGGTGCACCAAGCCCAGTGCACTGGGCGACTGGGCGCACCGCACGGACTATGGCACGGCCGGCACGGCCAGGATCGGGTTTTCGGCACCAACGGCGGCGAGGGTTCGGGAATGATCGTAGAGCAGCGTGGGAACGGCAGACGGAAGGGCGCCCTTCGCGGCGGGGTCCTGCGGGGCGCGGGGGCGGGCGGGGGCGGGCGGCAGGACACTCGCAAACTAGGACACCGCCCTGCCGAGCCACCAGGGCCGGGGCTTCCGCCGCCGCCCGGCGAGCAGCCCAGCTGGCGCATGCTGGCGCAGCACGCCGTCGGCCTCCCCGTTGTTTACCTCGCGGAGGACGAGGATGACGATGACGATGTGGCCACTGGGGGGCGGTAATCCATGAAACTGAAGCACCAACGGGACGAACGCGGTCGGTCTACGCGCGCCGATGCCGCCGACAACACTGGCTCACTCGGCCCGCTCTCCGCGCCGCGCCCGGCCCCCGCATGTGCCCCCCTCCCTCGCGGCCCCCGCGGCCCCCGCTGCCCCCGCTGCCCCCGCCCCAAGGGTCGCGGTGGGGGTAGGGCAGTCAGTAGCGCACGGCGACGCACGGCGCGGCGGGGCAGCGCCGCCTGGCGGCCGGGACGGGCACCAGCGGCGCAGGACTCGGCCTGGCGATACCCCCTTCCCGTGGTCTTCCCTCTGCCCCACAGTGGCCCAGAAGACCGGTGCAGGCGGGCAAAATCCCGAACGCGTTTTGAGCTCCAGAGTCGCTAAATGGGGCTCGAACCGAGCGTGTTACCCCACCAATGGATTGCTCTGCGAACGAGGAAATCCATTGGTGGCGCACTGTGTGCCCGGTAGCCAAAGCCCTGCACCCCGCAGCAGCAATCCCTGCCGAGAGATTACTTCCACCGCACGATCGAAAAAGTGCTTATCTTGTCAGGGCTAATCTCTCTATCCACGCGGCGGAAAAAAAAACCAGCAGCAAAACAAAAACAGACAAGGGAATGCACTGTTTTCTCTGGGGGGTTCAATGTTACCCCTCAAACTAGCGCCGCCTTGAGGCGCATAGATCTTTGAAACCGAAGCCTTTACGGCGTGAAATTATTGAACACCGCACGGAAACAGTGTAGGAGCAGCAAGGCTGTGAACAGCGATTACCACTGCGACTGGCGCCGGACTGGCGTGGGTACATTTGAAGGCAGGAGCCCTGTTCCAAAAGGAGCACTCCTTTTCGCGTGCGGACGGACGGGGACGGACAGGCCGCAGTATGACCAGAATAGCCAGTCGGGAATAAAAACGGAGACCGGCAATTAAGACACAGTTGTGTAAAATGTCGTGCCTTCTTTTGGAAGCCAGAATCGTTGTTGTTGTCGTCAGCACGATGGCCGGCAAAGGCTTCAGGGGATAGGTGCTAATGCAAACTGGGTGTGGATCTTGGCGTGCGCAAAAAAAATACAAGAAAATCAGACTGCCTGAGCAACTGGAGTTCTTTGCTTTGTTTTCATCTCTCTCTTTTTGAACTCTTCATCCCTTAACTCTAAGAAACTCTCATGATGGCAATTCAGACGCCACACGAAAGCCACCCCTCGGTTTTGCAAGGCAACGTTTTTTTAACCTTTTTTTACCAAGACCGGGAAGGCATCTTTCAGCGAGTCGGAAAGCGAGGCAAGGCACCGTAATCGTATGGCAAGGCATGCGCGACCCGAGGTTCGACTCTCTTAAATGCGACAAAAACTCAATTAATGGTTCCTTGACACGGAGCGCCTCGTGCCGACTGGCGAAGCTGCAGTTGCTGTGGTGCCCAACTGGAGAGTGTTTCGGCGGCTCTGACTCAGAAACTCGTTAAGACTATCGTTGAGGGCAAACAGTCCTCGTCAAACTAGGCACACCATCACGGTTGCTTTCCGCCCCCCCCCCCTCCTCCCCCCGGATCGTTGACGTCACGGCCGGTTCCCAGGCTCCAGCAGACTGATTCCGAACAGTCGCGCTGTCTCTCTCGCACTCGTGGGGCGCCTCGGAAGGGAGCGAGAGAGACAGCAAGGAAGCACCGTCCTGGAAAATCAGCCTGCTGGAGGGTGTTGCATTGCCGCCGGCGTCGCCAGCCGTCTCTCTCGCACCCCTACGGAACGCCCCGTGAGAGACAGAGCGACAAAGCCGCTGAGGCGTGCGAGTTCAAGCCGATAAACAAGCAAGCTTGTGATTACCGTGCTCGCCTATTAAGCGGTGACTTCCTCAAATCACCGCTCGGCCAAACGCAGCGGCAAATACACTTGGAAAGTTTTAGTCGAGGGCCAAACAACTTGAATTTAGGTGTACATTTTCCGTGAAATAACGTGAAATAACGTGAAATAACGTTGAAATAACGCCAAAATAAGCGTGAAATAACGGTGAAATAGCGCGAAATAACGTGAAATAACACGAAATAACGCGAAATAACGTTGAAATACCCTTGAAATAACGTTGGAATAACAATGAAATAACGTGAAATAACGTAAATTTGAAATAACGGTGTACAAATTTTGACGAAGTTGTTTGCCCCTCGGTTTTAGTTGTCTTTTGGTGTCGATTTAAAGGCTAGTTTTCCTTAAAAGAATGCTGTCACACATGGAGCTTTGACAATGTCATCGATTTGTGATCAAATTTACTACCATTCTTAAGTAATCAAAACCGTTTTTATCATCCTCTCATAACTTTGATTTTCTTTTCAGCACATTGAATTCATGTAGAGACCAACAGCTAAATCACCTTATTTTTTCTGTGGTTGAAACCTTGCGCAGTCTTGAATCGAGATTAACATGGGGCAGGATGTGTTTTCTCGGACGGATAGCGGCTAGCTGGTCAAGCGTTACCGGTGCCCGAAGCCTGAGCCTGAAGGTGACCGGGGACTGTTCGCAGCGCAGAGCGCCAATACCGCTTTCACTATCCGCAGGAAAAGGCGGGAAAAACAACGTGCGTCACGAGGGTGCTCTTTTTCCCGCCCTTTTTCTCGGCCCTGCGAATAGTGAGTCATGGGTGCGGATAATCGCAAGGCTGTGCCATGGCTGTTCCCTCGCCGTCGACAACAACGGTTCCCATTTTCTTCTCCCTTCCTCCTTCATTTTTTGCAAGTTTTTGCTCTTGAGCGTCGCGCCTTGCCGACTTGCACTGCAAAAATTTTCCTCGTCAATTTCAAGGCAAATTTTCCCGACGTTAATGTCATCAATTCTGTTGATAACATGGTTGTGACAACCTCATGCAATAAGTATGGAGCCTTGGTGAACATTTCGTCGATTTGTGAGGAAAGTGTCATCATGTCATCCACGCTTTTTTCATGCAGCGACAGCAAATTTTCGCAGTGTGTGCATCCGCCATCGCGCCGCGTGCAGTTTATCCTATGCATGATGTGCCGATCGGTGGCCGAGACCAACACCGTCTGTCTGCCGCCTCGCGCATTCGCAAAAACAACCTCTGGCCTTTTGCCACATTTTTTAATGGTCCAATTACGATAGAAATGAGTCGAGCAACGGAGAGCAACTCTAAAAAAGCGTGGAACTAGGAGTCGCTTTATCAGGTGAGGCACTACATTGTGGCTTAGCAACACGGGATAGGTGAAAAGTCTCTGCGTCTCCTCGTTCGTTTTCTTGTCGTTTCTTACCTTGTTCGCTTTTGGTCTTGTTCTTCGTTCCCCACTGCCAAGAGGATCTTGGACCTTTCTGGCCTCTTTAATCATTTGGCCTCGTCGAATTTAGCTTTTGGCTCTACCTTCTCCCCGACAAAGACACCGGGCCGGTCCTCGTCGTGGTTAAACTCTCTCGGGCGGCTCGGCCGAGCTCTTTTTGCCTAGCTCTGTCTGTCAGTCTGTCTGTCCGTCCGTTTGGCGGTGTAGTGACGCGAGCTGAGTCCACGAGTGCGTCATCGACTCGGCCACCGGTGACGTCGTGACGTCAAGGCAGCATCCTTGCGCCCTGGCGGCCCCGAGGGAATCCCTTGGATTGGCGGACCTACAAACCAGTTTGGAGCGTCCACTTGGCAGGCCGTCCGTGACTCAGGGCGTCGCGGTGCGCCGCCGGGGAGCCTCAGTGCAGTGCAGGTGGCACTGACGTCTTGGAGTTTCCGCTGCGCAGAGCGGCGCAGAGCGGCGCAGAGCACTCTCCTGCAGCGTCCTGCAGCGGCAGGCTGGGCGGGCTGGGCGACCCGGAGGCGCGCTCTTCGCACATCGATTACTCGATAAGAGCCAGTTTGCGATTCAGAGCGAATTCGATTAATCGATTCCCCAGAAACGAGGCGCGCTGTGTTATTTGCCCGCAAGGCCGCGCGGTGACGCTTTCCTGCAGACTTCCTCTTTAGCACGGAACCCAGAATTCCTAACGATGAGCCAAAATGTCTCCAAAGTCCTCGTTTCAATCGGCGCTTCGTTACAAGCACGCCGTTGGCCTGAAACCAGGGCAAGCCCCGGCCAGGTGATGGAGTTCGCTGCTTTCTTCTGCGTCCCACCCGAAGTAAACAGACCCAAGTAACAGACAAAAAGGTCACCCGGATGATAAGTGTCGAAATGACACCGTTCCCGACCCGGCGGTCGAAGTCAGGTTTGGCTAGGTGATGCGAATTTGACACTAAATACCTAAATGGATTGAGGTCCTGAGGGGTCACTCATGCGGGACTTTATTTTACCAATTTGAGCTAGTTGACGTCAGCATGACCAAAGGGAAATCACTGTGAATTTCATTGTACAAATCCAATCAATTTCAGTCGAATTTCGATGAATTGCAGTCAAATTTCGATGAATTTCAGTCAAATTTCAATGAATTTTAGTCAAATTTTTTTTCGATTAATTTTAATGAATTTTACTGAATTTTCCATGTTTGATGAATTTTGGTGTACAAATTTGGCTGGAGTTATTTCCCCTTGAGCATGACCTTTTTCCGTCCCCTGGCGACGCTTGCAGGAGCGCTCCAGGCGGGCGGCGCCCCTGTTGTTGCCGAGTGGCCAAATTGGTGGCTGCGGATGGCTTGTTCGGAGACGGCCAGACGGGAAGGCAGACCCGACTGGGCGACGCCCACTGCACTCTCAAAACCTCGCACAGGACTTGCAAAGGAAAGTAGGGGAAAAGTAGCTCTTTGAGCAAAAGGAAAATACTTCGTAATCTACGAACTATCTCTTCGAACATGCAACTAAATAGTGGGCTGGAATGCTCTGCATCCACACGAGTGAGACGGAGTGAGAAAGGAGAGGGGAAGGTGTGACGCAGGTTCGCAAATTAGCCCGCTTGGCGCGCTTGGCCGAGGGAGGCCATGATCGTTTTGTTGTGGATCCCTTAGCGACTCTGGCAGAGAGAGGTAATGATACAATTAGACGGGTGACGGACGTCAGTCGGCGAGACAGCCACAGACGGCCAGGAACAGGGCGTTGTCGGAACGGCGGGACGCGGCGGGACGCGGCGGGACGCATCCACGTCAGTTCGTCTTCCTGACGGCGATGTCCGCTGCGAGCGAG